TCCCAAACAAGTGCCAGCTACACACGATCATGGCGACAAGTACTACGTCCTCAGCTTCTCCGAATTTTAGCACCGTCCATACAAAAAGTTAAGGGTCACCATTGGATGTGACAAAAAGAAACAAACACTTTAGGACAAAACAGAAGTTCCTTAATGATATCTCCTCTCTCTTTATTGGCGGCCTATTATATATTTATATTGGTGGGGGCACGGACGATGGTCATTTACAAAATAGTAAATTAAAGTTTTAATAGTTTTTTCATACGTAAAACTTCATATTTCTTATTGGATTGTTTAAGAAAAAAATTTGAGTTTTAATAGTTAAAAAAGTACCTATATAGTATTTATATATTTTAGGAATGATTTAAGTAGCTAGTTTTACATTATTTATGTTTTTATGTAATGTATAAAATAAGAAAATAATGAAAAAAAAAAAACGAGATTAATCTATATTTTAGCATTCATTTTAAAAAACAGCATATTCTTTAGGTATTGATAATTATGATGCTCAAAGGTAGAGAGATAAAGCGGCACATGGCCAGCCTCCGTTTCCGAAAAAGAGAAAGGGAAACTTCACACTGGCCAATTTCACACTTTCCATTTTACAAATATTGATATTTTCTTAATTCTAGGTGGAGTTGAATTTACTTATTAGTATCGGTAGTATATTACAATATTAGTGTTATATTAATGAGAGTATATTACAAATATTAGTGTTATATTAATGAGTCTTTTGGTTCTTAAAAAATGAAAGATTCAAAATAAAAATACATAAATAGAAATGTAAAATAAAGAATCGGGATCACATTTGTATTTTTATATTATATTTAGAACAGTAATAGATAATTGACATGTAATTTAAAATTTTAAGATCTAGTTTTTAAAACGATAAAAGTAATAATTAAAAAAATAATTTCATCAATTATAATATAGTAAAAATGATAGAGGCGATTGTGATTGTGGTGATGGTGAAGGATGAAAAGAACATTATAGTAATAATAGTATAATAATATTAATAATATATTATTTAAAAATTGATAACACCGTTATAAAAGGTTGCATTGGAAGAATAGTGATAGTAGTGGAGTAGAAATGATAAAAGAATAATAACATTATTATTACTATTATTATTATTTATCACTATCGCCAATAGCCGCAGTAGGGGTGCCAACAACAACAATAATTGTATAATAAAAGTGATAGTGGTGTTAGAGAATGAATGGCGATGAAATAAAAATATAACAATAATAATATTTTTTTTATTTTTTATCACCATCACTAACAAAAAATGATGATAGAAATAATTAATAAAAAATAAACAAAAATAATATATCACTATTTAAAAAATATATTTTTATTTTTATTTTTATTCTCACTCTCTTATTAGAATAAAATTATATTTAATTTTCATTTCTCTTCTAAAATCATTTCTTTTAACCACATACTTAGGTAGAAGTAAAACTTCCATTTTCATTCATATTATTTATATTTCTTGTTATTAAACAACACTTAAAAGTATAATAGTCAATCCAAAGATTTTAATGCATCTGAAATTGTGATTTAAAACCATGCTCCTCACCAATACTTAGCCTTAAAGTCTCCTTGTTGCATACCTAGCCTAGAAGCTTTTCAGTGTTAGTAGTATAGTAATAGCAATAATATATTATTCAAAAATTGATATCACTATTATAGGAGGTTGCAGTAAAAAAAAAAAAATGGTGATAATATAATAAAAAAGAAGATGGTGGTAGAGGAGGAGTTTTGGCAAAAATATTAATAATATTATTATTATTTAATTTTTTTTATCACTAGCATCAATGGCGACGGTGGCGATGGCGGTGGCGGTGGCGATGATAATTGTATAATAAAAGTGATAATAGTTTTTGAGAATGAATGATGGAATTTTTTTTTATTACTACGTCAATAGCAATGGTGGTGGTGGTGGCAAGGGCGATAATTGTATAATAAAAATGATAATAACATTTGAGAATGAACGATGACAGAATAATAATAATTTTACTTTTTTATTTTTTTATTACTGCCACCAATGGAGGTGGTGATGTTTTGTTAAACAAATTTTTAATGAAGGGTGCTGGTAGACTGACCTAAATCACACTCTTCTCTCTCTTATCCCGAAGACAGATAGACCAGAAATGATGGCTCACTTCAAACCGATTGGTCTTTGTAATGTTACTTACAAACTCATTACAAAGCTTATTGTCAATGGATTGAAACCTCACCTACCTATACTAATTGTGCCTACTTAAAATAGCTTTGTTCCATTGCGTCATATCTCCAACAACTTAATCATAACCTAAGAAATTCTACATTCTATAAGAAGAAGGAAAGGCAAAAAAAAAAAAAAGGGTGGCTAGCTATTAAAATTGATTTGGAAAACGCTTATGATCGCCTCAGATGGGACTTTATCATGGATACTCTTCAAGTAGCTTCTTGGGCATCTTATTTCTTTAATCATGAAATGTATTTCAGTTGAATCCATGCAAGTGATTCGGAATGATACGACTACTACATCTTTCACTCCTTCTAGAGGCAGCCACCAAGGAAACCCTCTTTCTCCATATATATTTGTGCTTTGCTTAGAATGTTTAAGCCATCTTATTGATCATGAAGTGCAAAATGGCAATTGGAAACATATTCAACTCAAGCGTAACGGTTCAAAACTCTCTCACTTGTTTTTTGCGGATGATTTGATTTTATTTGTAGAAGCTAATAGGACACGGGTCTAAACTATTAATCAATGCTTTGAGTCATTTTGATGTAGTTCTGGTAAGAAAGTAAGCTACTCAAAAACCAAACTCTTTTGTTCTCCAAATACATTAAAGCAGCTTGTTCACTCTCTAAGTGCATGATTTGGTTTCCAATTGACTAATAATCTTGGAAAATATTTGAGAGTTCCTCTACTACATGGTAAGGTGATGAAACAAGCCTATAGTGATATTATTGATCAAATCAACCACCGCTTAGTTAGCTAGCAGACAAAATATCTTTTTTTAGCTAGGAGAATCACTCTTGTTCAGTTGATTCTTTCCTCTATTTAGTCTATACTATGCAAACTACTAGACTCCCTATTTCAATTTGATAAGAGATTGATCAGATTTGTCGAAACTTTATTTACGGATCCCAACTTTGAGAACGGAAGACACATCTGTTTAGTTGGGATAAAATTTCCTCATTGAAGACTCATGGGGGTTTGGATATCAAGAAAGCCAGAGACAACAATGATGTTATGCTGATGAAATTAGGATGGCAATTATTGATGGATCATGGTAGTCTTTGGGTACGGGTCCTACGGTCGAAATACAATTTTGATGCGGAACACATTCCTAGCGAGCTTAAGTGCACTAATGGCTCTGTTATTTGGTGAGGTATTTGTAATAATTAGTAGAACATCGTTCAAGGGCTTGCATCGTGTGTGGGAGATGGTAACACTGCATGATTTTGGTTGATAAATGGTTATTGCACGATGCACTTCTGATTACATTTGCAACTCAACATATTCCTACATCTATTCTGCATGAGCTGGTAAGTTCCTATGTAACTCCAAGTGGATAATGTGCATGAACTGAGTTCCAACAATTTTTACCTCATCCATTTGTCTCCAAATTGCTGGTGTCTTGTGTACATATGCTTCTTTAAGAGATGATCAGATTGTTTGGGGTGCTTCTTCTGGTGGAAATTTCTCAACTAAATCAGCATACTCCCTTTTTTCTAATTCTGAAAATACAGCAGAGAACAAAATCTGGAGGCTTAGATGGAGTTGGCCTGGACCCTAACGAATTCTGTCCTTTGGTTAGGGGGATATGATCGACTGCTTACAAACTGCTAGGGTTTTAGACGACAAATGGCAGCTAACGGGTCTTGTTCAAAATGGGGAGACCTAGTAAAAGATACAATTCATGTTCTTCGGGACTGTTCTTTTTTTAAACAAGTTTGGGAATCAATCTCCATCCCTCATTTTACTTTTGATTTCTATAACATGTCATTATTGGATTGGTTCAAAGCAAACTCGAACTCCACTCTTATCCATGTTTCTAATTCACCATGGACAATATGTTTTGGGATGATCTATTAGACCTTATGGAATTGGCGTAATATGAGCATTTTTTATCATTTCTCCTTGCCACGTAATATCTTGCATGAGATCATTTCTCATGTAGAGGATGTTAAGAAAGCAGCCATGGATCTCCAAAAATATGCTAATCCTAAACCACCTAAATTAGAATTAATGATCTCTTAGCTACCTCTGAAATTAGAATGGATTAAGCTTAACAAAGATGCCTTTATGTGCTTTTGCAGGTGGAATCCTAAGGGATACTACTGGTGCATGGCTTGGAGGATTTGCTATATAATATAGGAATTTGTTCTATTACCAGAGCAAAATTATGGGTAATTTATACAAGTTTACAAACTGCTTGGGATATGGGATTTAGGAAAATAGAGGTAGAATAAGATTCCAAAGCTGCAATCCAATTAATTCAGAACCATCAATGTACTGATCCTAGTAATGCTCAACTAGTCAGATCGATCCAGTTATTGTTATAACATCCTTGGTAGGTTTGAACTACTCATGTTTATCGAGAGGCAAATCATTGCACAAATTAGATTTAGATGGCAAATTATGCTTTCTTATTGCACCTTGGCCTGCACCGATTTCAAAATATTCCACCTGGTTGTTTCGATATTGTTTTAGAAAATATGTATAGGATTATTTTTCCTCGTTTTTGTATTGTGTAACTTTTCTCTAGAATTTTTTATTTAAACTCTCCTTTTAATAAAAAAAAACAAAAAAAAAAACCATAATTAGCCTTGAAGTCTTGCTGCTGTATACTTATCCTAGAAGCCTTCCAGTGCTTCCATTAAATTCTCATGCTGTGAAGCCTCCTGATAGAATCGTTTCCTCTGTATATATTGATAGCATTGCTTTCAAGTCGCCAAGAAACCTAAAGCCACCTTGGTAGTGATCATTAAACTAGCTAACAATGTCAGCCTCCAAAACGGACTTGAAGCTTCTTCTTGTTGCAAAGCGCAACAAAGTTATATTTGCTGAAGCAGGGAAACTTTGTCGATTTCCTTCTGAAGCTGCTTGCTTTGCCTTTGGGTACTGTCATTCGGCTCCTCGCAAAATCAACAATGGTTGGCTGCATAGCAAATCTTTATGACAGCCTTGAAAAGCTGAATGAATCCTATCTGCAGCCTAACCAAAACAAGGATTCACTTTTAAAACTAACTATACAAACCCAAGTCTCCAATCCAAATTTCTTGCTTCTCGGCACAAATAAAAAACCTGAAGACCGTAAGCTATTCTATTGCCCAGACCATCCCGGGTTTGTGTCCGATATTCAGAACTCTGTTTGCAGTAACTGCAGATCACGATGCAATCGTACTCGCTACATGAATCAAGAAGTGAAAGTTGTTGATACAAATTCTTCCACCTCCACAGATAGACATGTGAAATTTGTTGCTACAAATTGTTCCACCCCAACAGATGGACCAACCAGTTATCTGGGAGATAGACCAACCAGTGATCAAGGAGGGTATGTGAAGGGTTCGGTCAGATACATGGTGACAGATGATCTATCAGTGTCTCCAATGTCAATGGTGTCCGGTGTTGGTCTGCTAAACTAGTTCTAATGATTTTAGTGCTCTTGAGGAAAAGGTTGTCGAGTTTGGGATTAGTCAGGTAACGATTCTCACCTCTGCCATTTATTCTTTCATTTTAACGACATTATTCTTTTAGTTGTTATCTTTTTACAATGGCTTATATGATCGTGACTTCTTTGTATATCATTTAGGGTCTGGAATTGTTGAAGGCTTCTCTTTGGTCAAATGGTGCTTTGACTGCTGTTTTTCTTCTAAATCAGAAGGTCAGAGATGCTGAACCATCAAAATAGAAATTAGATTGATTCGGGTCTTCAATTTTTCGTATTGGCTAGCTAGGAGTAAATTAGTTTTTATTTCTTTTCTCTTCGATGTTTGAGAATTTTAATTCTGGTTTCGGACTAATGTATCATCTTTCCCATGAAATTAAAATGCTTTACTTTGTCATTAAACTTTATAAGAAATAATAATATGAGGAGTTGAATGCTTTCCTTCCTCTGTCAGGAAAATTATTTGTGTAAGCATATTTTATTATATCAACAAATATAAGGGTAAAAGGATATAGAGATGGATGATATTGATTTTGTTGTAAATGGGACTCGTTGATTTACGTTTTGGATTGCTAGATAAAACTACCTCGATGTATTGTATGCAGTTGACCGTCCTGAACCAAAAGATATAAAAGTTCAGATTCTTGGACTATTCTTTCCTCATCCTCACATTTATGATGCTCCACTCATTCTTCTATGCTCTGGTAAATTGTGAAAGCTGAGGTGGATGAGTGCCCACGATATAAGGTACTATATAAATCCAGCATGATGTGAGGTTCAAAAGAGCATCGTTTCTTGTGAGGGCTCGAAGGTGGAGTCCCTAAAAGATTTATAGAATGTTGGCTAGATACATAGATCTGTTAGAATTTTTTTTTTTATAATCGTAGTTATCCATATTATAAAATTATTTGAAAATAAAAAAATGTTTGTGTAACACGCATTCAAACTTATTCATCTATAAATAATTTTAAACAATCCATTATAGATTAAAAAATTACAGAAAATTAGTTAAATAATATAAGTGCATATATTAAGAAACTAGTATTATAAAATTATCGAATAATACACATCACGAGCTAAGAAATTAATACTATAAAATTGCTGAGCAATACATGTGTGCAAAGCACATGATAAAAAAACTAGTTAGAGAGAGTGCATATAAATTTTGTCTCCGAATAAGATTTTGTCTTTAAATAATTTTACTTAATTGTATAATATGCTTAATGTCTTTTTATTTTTAAGAAAAGAATGTTCCGCAAAAAATTGCATTATTTACCTAGCAAAAATATATTTAGAAATACTTGAATTTTTAAAATTTCCATTAATTAATTCCATTGATACGTTTTCGTGGCATATATATATATATATATATATATATATATATATAGTCTTAATAATTTTATTTTTCTTTTTTTCCTTAAAAATAGTGTCTTAGGAATTGATTTAGGCATCAAATCTCATTACAATTTACATGATTTTTAGGAGACGTTTGGTATGAGAAAATTGGAGATTTTCCCTACCAAAACATCTTAAATACCAAATAATGTCATGTTTGGTTAATTAGAGAATGTCAAATTCTCACGAGAATTCGGAATTCCTTAGGCATCACATTCTCCGTGAACCAAGGAATGTGATGCATTTCTGAAATATTGGAAATCACATTTCCTTGGATGGAGAATATAGGAATTTTTTTTTATAACTAAAATTCTCATATTATTAATATTAAATAGACTAACATGTCTTTATTATTACTATTATCATTATTGTTAAAAAAGTTTAGTTTTGATACTAAAAACTTTATTGGTTTATTTACTCATTTAGCAGAAAGTACATGTTATGTATTTTTTCAGCAAATAAATTAATCGACTTGGTAGTATTAATTAATGAAATATGCATGTGTTTCTGCTCATAATTATTTAATTAAAAAATCATCATAGTGACAAATTACATGCTTTGAACTAATTTGGGGATAAAATAATAATTTGTTTCATATTTTCATGAATTTTTTTAGTACAAAACTAACACAATAAAAACTTATTACTAAGAATTTTTATTTTCAATAATGAACGCAAAAAAAATCATATTTCTAACAATTATATTCTCAACAATTATATTTAAAAAAAAACATCTAGGAATTCACGTACTAAACACCGTTTAATTCGTGAGATGTTAAGTGCAAGAAATGGACATCCTAAACAAGTGCCCGCGCACGATCATGACGACCAGTATTACGCACTTAGCTTCTCCCAAGTTTAGCACCGTCCATACAAAAAGTTAATGGTCACCATTGGATATGACCAAAAGCAACAAACACTTTAGGACTAAACAGAAGTTCCTTAAAACACTTTAGTATATATTTTAAAATTTCTCCTCCTGCACCATACTTAGGACTTGTAGTCTTCCTGCTGCGTACTTAGCCTTGAAGCCTTCCCGTGCTTCCATTAAATCCTCATGCTGTGAAGCATCCTGATAGAGTCATTTCCTCTCTATATATTGATAGCTTTGTTTTCAAGTCGTCAAGAAACCTAAAGCCAACTTGGTAGGAATCATTAAACTAGCTAACAATGTCAGCCTCCAAAATGAACTTGACGCTTCTTGTTGATGCAGAGCGCAACAAAGTTGTCTTTGCTGAAGCAGGGAAAGACTTTGTCGATTTCCTTCTGAACCTGCTTGCTTTGCCTGTGGGTACAGTCATTCGGCTTCTAACAAAAGAAACCATGGTTGGCTGCATAGCAAATCTTTATGACAGTCTTGAAAAGCTGAACGAATCTTATCTGCAGTCTAACCAAAATAAGGATTTTCTTTTAAAACCAACATTACCAACCCAAGTCACCGATCCAAATTTCTTGCTTGCTGGCAATAATAAAAAACCTGAAGACCAGATGCTATACTTTCGCCAAGACCATCCAGGGTATGTGTCAGATATTCATAACTCTGTTTGTAGTAACAGCAGATCACAAGGCTATGGTGCTCGCTACATGAATCAAGAAGTGAAACTTGCTGGTACAAATTGTTCCACCTCCACAGATAGATCAACTAGTGATCAGGGAGGTTATGTGAAGGGTTTGGTCACATACATGGTGACGGATGATTTGTCAGTATCTCCACTGTCAATGGTGTCTGCTGTTGGTTTGCTAAACAAGTTAAATATCAAGGATTTTGGTGTGCTTGAGCAGAAGTTTGTGAAGTTTGGGTTTGATGAGGTAATGACTCTTCAACTCTGCCTTCTATTGTTCATTTAGTAAGTTTTAATTATTGTTGAAAAATAGTTTATATATACTATGTGGCTTTTCTTGGTCCTTGTTCTTTTATATATTTCAGGCTCTTGACTTGTTGAAGGCTTCTCTTTCGTCAAAGGAGGCTCTGACTGCTGCTTTCCTGCTAAAGCAGAAGGTCAGAGACGGTACGTCAACGAAATAGAGAACAAGTCGATGCAGGTCTTCAATTTAAAATTGTAGTTTTGTCTAAAGTCAAAGACACTTCTTTTACTGATGTAAACAGAAGCAGGACATCCAGAATTATCCAGCACCAAAAAAAAAAAAAATCGATGTTACCAGTGGGTTCTTTCTAGCAATTCCTATCTTGTTGCGGCGGATGTATTCTGTGTTTCAGTGATTGTCTTAGGTTTTCATTCCTTCTATTATTGATAGGAAGAGTATGTTGCGTTCTGTTTCTTTACAGCTTTGGTTATCGACTTCAACTTAACAATTCCAACTTTCAATTTTTTGTTTTGTGCCTTGCAATCACTTCTTTCACAAACAACAGTCATGCCGTATGTGGGTGATAAAAGAGAATAAACGCTTTATCTAACTCTGATCTTATGGAAATTGTTGTTTCATTAACTTGCAAGCTGTAGTCTTCAAGAACGGCTCAAGATTTCTGGTTTACCAAAAAGGAACGCGGCGGTCAAGCCCAATACCATTGCAAATTTTTGTTTCCTGCCCCATTTTTCTTTTTTTAAAAAATAATCCATATAGGTGCAGATGGAAGACGGTGCCGTATGTCCTTTTACATGACCTACCAATTGGACATCGTTGATTTCAACATTGATGAGGTTAGGAGCAGACTCTCCTGCCTGTCATATTCATTTACGGAGTGCGAGGCCTTTGGCATTGTGGATTTTGTTCCATTGAAGACACTTACTATTAGGGAGATTGAGTTTTGCAGTATATGAATAAATTATTCATCAAGCATGATCAGCCAGTAATAATCAGTAGTACTGCTATAAGAGAGAGATACAGATCAGCAAGTAGCCTAAACAGTTCCTATCTTGCTACTTGGATTTTGCTTCTGGACTTTCCACAATCTGCTGATTAAAGAATCAAACTTTTGCCAAGTAACATAGAAGTGGCTGAAATGTCAATTTCAAATATGCTTTCAAATTGCTTCGTGATCCGCTGTTCGTTATCTGTGTTTTTACTGGCACATAAAAAGAAATATAATTAAATAATAAAATTCATACAATAAATAAATAAACTTTTTATGTTGACCATTAGAAAAATTAAGAATTAAAATTACATTATCATATTTCAACATGTAAAGTTAACTGAATAATCAAAATAGATTTACATAATTTTTATATGACTTTCACGAGGTATAATTAGATTATTTTTTGAGATGATATGCATTGTTTGTATAATTTATCCGATGCAACGGATCAAAAATATGAATTATTATTGATTTTGAAGTCACCACCTAATATTAAGAGAACTAAAAAACCAAAAAATGATACTTGTTCAAAGATTTTTAGGTAAAGAGTTGATTATGTTTTTGGGAAATATTAATGGCCCAAAGACATAATTTCTAAGAAAAAGTATTATATTTGGTTTAATCCTAAAAGTTCATCCCTTAAAAAAAAATTCTATTATTACCAAAATTATTCCTACGTCAATTTTAAAGATTATTACCTAAGTCAATTTTTTTTTTTTTACGATATCATATTGAATTAATCATCGGACTTCATCACTAGAAGTCTCATCAATTTAACATCGGATTCAATTTAAGTCTTGATATAATCGGTACGTCGAAAAAACATAATAATTACTAAAGGAATAGGTTCTAATCAAGTGATAACATATGTCCTTATCATATAGGAGACTTGTTAAAATTAACCTAGTGATTTTCTATTTTATTTTTTTGTTCTTTCTTTTTTCTCTTTATATATATATATATATAATTTGTCAAATTTTTTTTTATCATTTGTCTCTCTCTCTTTTTTTTTTTTTTTAAGGTCAGTGGAGAATCATCATTAGTCTTAAAAATTTAAAAACTCGACAATTCGTTCATCTATTGATTACTTAGCTTAACCATTGGTTATTCAAGCAATGCTTAATACTAAAATAAATTTGAAATTAAATTAACAATTCCTACACATATATATAGGTGTGTAAAGTCTACAATCTTAATTTCAAATTTAATTAATACTAAATACTAAGCGAAACTAAAATTTAAATACCAAAAGAAATTAATGACTAAGCCTTAAACTAAATAAATTGAAATAAATAAGAAAAGGAGTTCAAAAATTCTAAAAATTTAAATCTGGACTAGAGGTGAAAAACATGAAGCATGCCTGAAAATTTCAGATGTAATTAATCTAAGGAACTAGATTAAAAAAAAAAGTTATTGGGCATTTGGGCTTAGTGGACTTTCGGCCCAATAGGCCAAGCCCCTGGGCTAGCCTATTTTCTTCTGGACAAACTCTACTTCAAAACCCAAACCCACTGGACCAAACCCAAATTCAGGCCCATGAAGCCCAGTATCAATCTCTTGGACCAAACCACAACAAGCCACAACCTGACCTAGCCCGAACCCATTTATATAGCCTAAACCAAAATAAACCTCACCAGCCCAGCCTAGTTAGACAAGCCCAAATATCAGGCCCTGTTTTCCTTTCTTTCTCCCTGGCTGTACATTCCTCCTCTTCTCCTCTCCTTTTCCTTTCGTGTTTTTCTTCTATACCAAGCCTCGAAAAAACAACAACACAATCATTCCTCACAACCTCCTTTTCCTCACAAGCTGAAGCCTAACCTCAAATCCCCAAAATTTTCCATCCCTCATCTCATATTCGTTCAACCAGCCCATACGTTGACGGGAAAACTGATCAGTTGGGTATGCTTCATGAAGACAGTGATTAAATCACTTTCATCGTTTATTCTTGAACAACTTAGGGGCATAATCCAAGTAATTCGAAGTAAATAATTTGAAAGAGATCGAAGATGTACCTGGGGCATTTGATTGAAGAAGTTGGAATGGGATGAACGGTTAGCAGTGATGGGATTTGTCTCTGTTTCGATCTCGTCTCCCTTCTGCTTCAAATACCTTGTGATTTCTTGTTTGAAACCTAGGAATCGTTCGTTATGAACCCAGGAATTCCCTCTGTGAAGCCCAATGATTTCCTCTATAAACCCAGAACCAAGAATAGTTAAACTTCCTTTGTTGAAGTATTGAACATTTTTTCTCCAAAAACCCAGAAAAATCTTCCTAATTCCTTCAATGATGTCCTATTTATACCCAAAAAACTATCTATCATCTGCCCTAGGATAAATTCCAACTAATCCTAGCCCTCTCCATTAGAAATCAAAACCCCCGGCCTCCTACAATTCTTGGTTGTTTATGTGCAGAGCTAAAAAAATCAAAATGCAGTGTGTGTGTAAGTCTGGTGTAGGTGTGATGCGGAGGGTGTGTTGAGGTGGATACAAAGATGAGGACAGCATGATTCTTGACTGGTACAATTACTAGCCAAGGATCGTTTGTTGTTTTGGGTTGATTGTCTTCGATGGAGATGATGAGCAGCACCAGCAGGAGGGAAGGATCATGTGATAAAGTGGACGACAGGTTGTTCAGACAAGGTGCGAACCAGTCCCGTCGTCTGCTCCTTCTATCAATTTTAGTTCATGGATGTCTTAATTTTTCTTCAATTGTACCCTTTAAGCATATTATTTTAGTCCCTGGTTCCTTCAATTTTTCACAATTGTATCCATGAGTCTTCCAATTTCAATTCTCACACTTTCAATTATTTCAATTGCATCCCTAATTATTTCCAATTGCATCTTTTTTTCATTCAATTGTTCCCTTAAACTCTAACAATTAAATATGTTATGTAACCTAATTAAAAAATTCAATTGATTATGTAATTATTTATTTAAATAAAAGATAATCCCTAAAATTAAACATGAAAATATATCAAAATAAATATGACAAATAAACTAAAATAAAAGGCAAATAAAAGTAAAAACAAATAAATGAAAAATACTAAAAAAATAACAAAAAATAAATATAATTCAAATTTTAGATTATGACAACTGTCTTTAAAGTGACCTTTCCATTCGCAGTAGAGTTGCTAAGTGACATTAGTAGAGTCTCCCAACTATTCGATAATGAACTCAATACGATAAGTATTTGTATCTCATCGACTAACTAAAGGTTCATTGATGTCAACTAATTCAAGAACCCTTGGAAGTCATTTAAGTGCACTTAAACATCTTCACGTCTTTGTACTTGAGGTTTACAAGATCTTTGATTACAAAAGTCTCATTTTATGCATTCTCTTTAGCAAAAGTTTCTTCTAACAACTTTCAAACTTTAGCGACTATGCTCTTGAGAAATATGATTGATGGATTTAAAAGATATCTATTTTTTGACAACAACTATAGTTTTTGTATTGATTGACTTTTATTTAGCCTCTTCTATATCGATAGGCTTTTTTCATTCACATTCAAGTAGCAAAGCCATATCATTGTAGTAAAGGTGATCCTCCATCAATATCTCCTATAGGAGATAATTGGAGAAAGTGAGTTTTATCACTCGAATTTTTCTTTTCCATTTTAATTGCACAAGAAAACAATCATTCTACACAACTCGGAGCTTTGATATCACTCGTTGAGAAAAGACACATATTTGAAAAAAAATTACAAATCACAAGTCTCAAATTTTTTTCTTTGTGCAATTAAAATTAGGATCCACCAATCAGTAATAATCAATGTAGAATAAATAAAATACAAACACAAGCAATATTTAAAATTTTTACATAAAAAAACCCAAACGTGAAAAAAAAATATTATGTGATCATTGTCTACTTAAAACTCTTTTATTATATCAAATAAAAAGATATACAATTATTTTCTAGTTCAATTAGAAAATATATTATAAAAACATCAAAATCATCATCGTCAAGATGGACTCTAACCTTAACAATAAAGAAAAAGATTATACATCACTCTGTGAATTTTTAAGAAATACCCAAAGATGGAAGTTTTTTAATGATCCATATTGTTCAAGTTTAAGAGCTAGTCGCCTAGATCAATATATCTAAAATTTATTTTAGTCAGATTTAAAATTCCCATCCGATCAAAGTTTCAATACGAAGAACATATCTTTCTTTCTCTTTATGTCTCTCTCTCGGCTATAAACTTTCTTTTCTTCTTTTCTTGTGGCTGCTACGCTTCTGTTTCTTTTGATGCCCTACCATTTTAAAAGTCCAAATGCCTTTACATAACGTCATTCGCGTGACCAACTCTCACCTTTTTTATTTTTTTATTTTTTTAATTTTTTTTTTAAACATGGATTTTGGGCACCGTCGAGGAGGGATTCGACCTAGCAAGAATCACATTCCTTTGGGTAGAGAATATAAGAATTTTATTTTTATTTTTTATTTACTAAAATGCTCCCGTTATTAATATTAACTGGAGTAACGTGTCTTTATTACTATTATTATTATTATTATTATTATTAGTATTCTTATTCTTATTCTTATTAAAAGTTTCTTAGTTTTGATACAAAAAACTTTATTGGTTTATTTATTCATTTGCGAGAAAGTACATGTTATGTATTTTTTTAGCAAATAAATTAATAGACTTGCTAGTTGTAATTAATGTAATATGCATGTGTTCTGGGCATAATTATTTAATAAAAAATTCATCATAGTGGCAAATTGCATGCTTTGAACTAATTTGGGGATAAAATAATAAATTTGCATGATATTTTCGTGAAATTTTTAGTATAAAACAAACACAATAAAGACATATTACCAAGAATTTTTATTTTCAATAGTAAACAGAAAAAAGTTTCATATTTCCAACAATTATATTTTAATAAAACATCTAGGAATTCACGTACTAAACACACCTTAACTCATGAAAAGTTAAGCGCAAGAAGTGGACATCCTAAACAAGCGCCAGCTACGCACAATCACGACGACCAGTATTACGCACTTAGCTTCTACCAAGTTTAGCACCGTCCATACAAAAAGTTAATGGTCACCGTTGGATGTGACCAAATGAAACAAACACTTTAGAACTAAAAAGAAGTTCCTTAATGATATCTCCTCTCTCCTTAGTGGCAGCCTATTATATATTTATATTGGTAGGTCATGGACAAGGATCATTTACAAAACAGTAAATTAAATTATGTTTTTCCATACGTAAAACTTCATATTTTTTACTGGATTGTTAAAAAAAAAATAGTTTTAATGGTTAAAAAGTACAAATACAGTATTTATGTATTTTAGGAATGATTTAAGTAGCTAGTTTTATATTATTTATGTTTTTATGTAATGTATAAAATAAAAAAAATAATGAATAAACGAGATTAATCTATATTCTAGCATTCATTTAAAAAACAAAAACATATTTTTTAGAAATTGACTAGATGGTTATCCATACTATATCTCGGATAGGATACAATAGATGAAATTATTTGGAAAAAATCTTTATCATTTACTAGTTTTTGCTACTCTATAGATCTAATAAATTTATTAAAATCAAAGGTAAAAAAAAAAATATTCACTTAATTTTATAATTTTGTAATCAAAATTTTATATTTAATTAATTTTTTATTATGTTTTTTAAAAGATCATGTGTTATTGTTTTTCATTGAAAAGTCTGGATCTTGATCCATACAAAGGTATCCTTGCGATTATTGGTATTAACACGTTCTTGTATTACCTCGTGCTAGATAAACTGATGTGCAACTCTAGCTAGAACATCAGGAAAACAGTAAACTGTGTTTCTTGGATGTGAAGGGCTGGACCGTGGCAAAACAAAAATTATAGGGTGGGTCGGCCCAATTGCAAAAGCAAAATTTTCTGAAAAATTACGATCTCAAGATGATTAAGTGGCAGAGGGGCATGTATCTAAAGAAGGATTTTGTTAATCGATTGGTAGTATTCTTCCACGATCACTGGATGATGATAATCAATTATGTAAGCCAATAAGCTTTTTGGCTGAATGGCAGCTTAATTTCCTTTCCATATATATTTTGCCTATGGTTCTTGCCCCTTCATGACATATTGTTCCATAGGGTTTTCTAAAAACTACCTGAAGTTTCGAGAGGGTGCGATCCATACCCCAAATGCACCTTAAGCGAACCGTGGGGGTGAAAGCTCGAGCCACACCACGAAGGCTCTCAAGCAAAGGAAGACGGATGGAATAGATTTTGACAACGGTGGATAAATCAATCTACGCAAGACCTGTTAAGCGCCTTGAAAATGTGAGAGAATCCTCCTTCTAGCATACATCAATTATGCTATAACCTTATTTAGTAAAGGCTAGTCGTTGCTCATGCTATCATGCCAATTCGATAAAACAAAATTATTTTAATTATAATTTTTTAATTAATTAATTTTTTAATATTTTTTTATAAATTTTTTATTTTAAAAAATTAATCATTCTTTTTTATGAATTGATTTTAAAATAAAAAATTATAATAATTTTAATTAAAATATTAATCAAGAATTAAAAAAAATTTAAAAATATAATTTTCGTAATATTATGTTTCAAAAAATAAAGTTATAATTAATGAACAAACTTTTACAAAAATTAGCAAATAAAAAAATTTTCTTATTTAATGCTGATGAGAAGATTAATTTTTAAAATAATACTTGCAACGATACGGATAGATAAAACAAAATCATTTCAAAACTTTATAATTTTTTCATTAGTTTTGTATTTTATTATGACTATTTTTTGTGTGTTTTTCATAAAATTTCTACTTAAAAAACATGATTTATTCTTCTTTATTCAAGGATTCTTGAATAAAAACTTATAACAATTTAAACCCAAAACATTAATTAAGGATTCAAAAAAAAAAAAACTTTAAAATTATTTTTTGTTATAATAATATATCCAAAAAATTAAGTTACAATTAATGTATAGACTTGCATAAAAATTAACTAGTGAAAAATAAAATTTTATTCTTATTTAATATTTGTGAGAAGATTTTTTTCTATACATATATTTATTTACAAAATAATCAATAAAATTAGCATAAAAAACTATATTTGAATAATTGGTTGGTTCCTTTAAAAAATTATTTTAATTATTTTATTTCAAAAAAATTGGTTATATAATGTTAAAAAATATTCATAGTAAAAAATTTGTATTATGTTGGAAGATATATAGTTAATTTTTAATACAAAAATAAGAATAAAAATTAACTTGATCTGATTTTTTGTAATAAATTTAAAAGATCAATTTTAAACAATAAGAATATTATATATTTATTCTAAAAACATATCATACATATTATATAATCATTAGTTTATGTAGAAAAAAATAATTATGTTGGAAGATGTACGAGTTAATTTTTAAAATAAAAATAAGAATAAAATTTAACTTGATGTGAATTTTTATAATAAATTGAAAAAGGTCAATTTTAAACAATAATAATAGTATATATTTATTCTAAAATCTAAAAATATATCGTATATATTATATAATCGTCGGTTTATATAAAAAAATAACGATTGATTTTTCAAAATTTTAACCTCTAGTTAAATTTAAAAAAAAAGAGTATAAATTGACGGAAAAAATCAAAGAAAAAAACAAACAAAAAAAATGTAGTGCATAAGCTAAGGGGTTAAAATTTTTATTTTAAAATTCTAAAACTAAAATAAAATAATTTAAAAATTATTTAAAAAATGAATAGTGATTTGTTAGGGGATAAACGGTGAAACTCACTATTCAACACCCCCTCCCCCACCCCTCCCAATCTTTTAGATATATCATAATAATAATAATAATAATAATAGGTAGTAGCATTTTTTTTCTTTGAATATAGTAGAATCTTCGACTCTTTTCTTTCCAGCTTGAATTTTTTGCTCTCTTTATGCCTGGATTTGATTTTCTTCTCTTTATAAACAAAATTTGCTGGTCAGCTTTGGTCTTTGTTTTTTTTAGGACCTGCTAGTTTAGCGGGTAGTTTTTCCATGGTCAGGCAGAACAATTTCGTCCTTTGATTTTCTTTTTTCGCTATTTGTGCAGATAAAGTCAGGGGATGAAAAAGAGTGGGACAAGTTAATAATTAGGAACTGTTTCTATGAAATAAAGGAAAGAAAAAGCAGAATAATTTCCTGGAAAACACATGCCCAGAATTTCCAAATTAATCTTAATGGCTTTGCCATTATTACCTTTTGCAATTTCCAATATAATCACTGTCGTAATTTATGTTCCTAATTCAATTTAATTCTATTTCTCACTAGTACTGTTTTTTTCATCCCAGTTATTCAATAACTAAGACGCTTAATTAATTAATTAATAGCTGATCATGGGAAAACCAACAATGGGATGAAATGACTATCCATCATGGGGAATCCAACAAGAGGATTAAAGGACTCTATCATGGGAAATCTAAAACTAGCTTTTATGGAGCAGACCTTCTATTCAACCATTTCTCTTCCCCATGCAGTAGGACCTCCTGATAGAATCATTTCCTCTCTATATATTGATAGCTTTGGATTCAGATTGTCAAGAAACCTAAAGCCAACTTGGTAGCAATGGCTTCCTCCAAAATCAGCTTGAAGCTCCTCATTGATGGAAAGCGGAACAAAGTTGTTTTTGCCGAAGCTGGGAAAGAATTTGTGGATTTCCTTCTTAACCTGCTCGCTTTGCCTGTGGGTACTGTCATTCGGCTCCTCACAAAAGAAACCATGGTTGGCTGCGTAGCAAATCTCTATGAGAGTCTCGAAAAGCTCAATGAATCGTACCTGCAGCCTAACCAAAACAAGGATTCACTTTTAAAACCAACGATACCAACTCAAGTCGCCAATCCAAATTTCTTGCTTCCTGGCACTAATACAAAACCTGAAGACCGGAAACTATACTATTGCAAAAACCATCCAGGGTACGTGTCCGATATTCAGAACTCTATTTGTAGTCACTGCAGATCACAAGGCTATGGTACCGGCTACTTGAATCACGAAGTGACATTTGTTGGTACAAGTTGTTCCACCTCAAAATATAGATCAACCGGTGATCAGGGAGGTTATGTGAAGGATTTGGTCACATACATGGTGACAGATGATTTGTCAGTGTCTCCAATGTCAATGGTGTCCGGTGTTAGTCTGCTAAACAAGTTCAATATTAAGGATTTTGGTGTTCTTGAGGAAAGGGCCGTTGAGTTTGAGATTACTCAGGTGATGATTCTTACGTCTGCCAATATTAACTAGTTTTGATCTTTTGTTATTTTTAACTGTGATTTATATGATGAGGCTCTCCCTTTTTCATATTTTAGGGTCTGGAATTGTTGAAGGCTTCTCTTTTGTCAAATGATGCTTTGACTGCTGTTTTTTTGATAAATCAGAAGGTCAGCGATGTTGTTCCAACAAAATAGGAAATAAGTGGATGCGAGTCTTCATTTTCCGGATCGACTGTCTCGGAGGAAGTTAGATTTTATTTCTATTCTCTATGATGTTTTAGAAATTTTATTTTGGTTTCGTACTGCATGTCTCATCTTTTCCATGAAATATGCTTTGCTTTGTCATTAAATCTTTTGAGTAATGATAATATGAAGAATTTAATGCTTCTATTTTTCTTTCAGGCAAATTACTGTCTAAGCATAGTTTATTTTATCAACTTATAAAATGGAAACCAATAGAGAGACAGATGAGATTTATTTTGTTGGTTTTGTTGTAAAATGGGACTTGTAGGTTTCCTTTTGGGATTATTAGAAAACCTAGCTCAATCTGTAGTATGCAGTCACTTTTAATTTTATGCTAATCTCTTTTGTTGGACAATTTTGGTCAACTTTTTCCTTGGATCTTTAATCGCATACGCAATTTTTGGGGGTACGTATGCTAGTTGATCTAGCTAGGAGGAAACTTAATTTGCTGTTAATTGTTGTGGCTTGTGCTAACTAAAGCACATATGCTATCAATCAATTAATGTTTTCTCTACCAGAATCCTTAAGGCTTTGGAATTACTGAAGGCTTCTGTGATCAAAGGCGATTCTTACCCAGGTCTACCAAGCTGGTGAAAAGTAGTACTAGGATGGTAAAGCATTGAAGTGAAATGATGTACAGTGGATCCGGTGTCCTTTGAAGGAATTTGTATTTTGTTACTGTTTCTTTTACTAATTATCAATCAAGAATTTTAAATTTCTTGAACAGATTTGAACCGTGAATTACTCATGATTGGATGGGATTTATTTTTCGTTATAACCTTGGCATATCACCACATTTTGTAGCCTAGTACTGGTAACAGGCTATTTGGCGGCAGTTTTATTGCATCACCAGTGCAAACTTCAGGTGATGAAAATCGACAATGAAGTACCTAGTTATAACGGCGAAGTCTACTTTTACATCCTTATCGAAGATGATTGGAAAACCAATAGATGTATTTATAATTTTCTTTTTTCTTAATTTCGAGAAATTAGCAATGCTTACACAGACAAAAATGTTCCAATTAGCAGGTAGATAATGGAATAAAAAGAAACATATCCCCTCAAAACATCAAACGAACAATATTATCATGTTTTGCATAAAAACTACTCCAGCTTAACAACACTAACAAGGAAATTGATTTGCAGAAAGATTTGAATAGAGAAACCAATTAATGAATACAATTCACATATTCGTTCTTTAATGTTATCAGATTCATTGATTGCTTAAGCAAATTTTCTTTAATGAGGAAGAGTGAAGAATTAATTTGGATTCGCATCAAACAAAATCTGAACCATAAATTAAATTTTGCGCTGTTTCATTGGTTACTCGAAGATAACGTGCCGAATTAACTTTTCTTGAAGTACTAGCTAGTTCACTGACTGCTTCCACATTCATTGAATCATTTTTCGCTTTACTTTCAATCCTACCTAGTTAAGTTATTCATTGGCCTAAACGATCATAATTACCATCGGTAACCCCGAAAAACAGCCGGCATGAAGCAAGCCTTCACTTCAACCCTTTCTCTTCCCCAGGCAGTGACTCTTCAAACATCAAAGCTATAAATAACCAAATCTGTCCCTCTCTATTGAATCATCGGATACGCCATGGCAACTTCCTCCAAAACGAGTTTGAAGCTTCTTATTGATAAGAAGGAGCAGAAAGTCCTTTTTGCTGAAGCATCTAAGAATTTCGTGGATTTCCTCCTTAACATGCTTGGTTTGCCTGTAGCTGCTGTTATCAAGCTCCTCAGAAAATCTACCACGGTTGGCTGCCTTGCTAATCTTTATGAGAGCTTTGAAACCCTCGATGAAACTTGCTTGCTTAACTGTAATATAATTTGTTAATGATGCCAGGGCTCGATGTTTTATTAGCTTAATTATTGGTTTTTGTACTTTTCAGTGTCTTGAATTATTGAAAGCTTCACTCTTGTCCAAAGCTGCTCTTACTGATGTGTTCTTTGCAAAGCAGGAGGTCAAAGCTGGGGTAGCATCTAATAAGAAAACGAATGTAACATCTAAGAACAAGAAAAGAAGGGTGTTGTAGCATGTGAATCAACTAGAAATGAGTTTGTTTTGGAACAGTGTCACTCTAATGCCAATTTTGTTTGGAAGTTTTATTTTTCTATGTAAGGCAGTATAGATGCTACATTATTGCCAACTTGTCATCCTTCTGTAATAATGTTAAATGAATTATGATCATTTTATCATGAATGAACCTTTATATTCTAAAGTCATGCATGCATATCTTCATTTTCCATTTGTCGAATTGATTTTTCAGATTTTCGTCCGTAATTTTCTCCTAGACGAGCCACTTTGGTTTCCACCCCGCAGTTGCTAATTAGCCGAATTTTATTTGAGGACAGACCTTAATTGTTTCTTTCAGGTTTTTTCTTTTATTCGTAAACATTGTCATTAATTATGGACCACTACGATCAATGAGTCATTAAATTACTAGTTCTGTCCCTCTATAGATTCGCAGCGATAAATCCTATTCCATTCTAATTAGTGAGTTCAGACAAATAAAAAATCACACAATAACAAATTTAATTACGCCACGGTGAGGAATTGCCGTTTCATGCTGGTGTATCTAGGATTTTAAAGATTAAAGAGAGAAATATACAATACGACTGTATGCTTGCTGAATGACGAATCTAAATTTAGATTTAATCTACAAGCAGTCATTCTAATTTTCCTTACGCGATATATACTGTGGGATTTCTCACACACATATACAGAGGTGAATATTTGGTTTTTTTTTTCTTTTCAATTTTTAATATTTTGATTCGAATTTTTTTAATTGAATTCATAAAAAAAAAAAAACCAAACTTGAACTGAATTTTTATTCAGGTTTAAAAAGCCGAAATTTCTTGGTTTTAGATTTTTTTGGGGTAAAAATCGATTTTTTCTGATTTATTTTAAATAATGCAAATAGGCTAAAAAAATATATATTTTAGACTATTAAATCTTTTATATGTCCCAAATGGTCTAAATTAATCTATATATAAATATAATAAATATTGATTTAAATAAGACTAAAACACAAAATCATACTACATAGTAAGACACTAAACTTTAAATACAAGTTCATTAATTCATATCTAAAATATATAATGATAAACAATCACTTATTGTCCAAACATATTATAAATCTAACTACCAAAGTTTAAATAATAACCAAAAGTTTAAAATTATTCTTAAATTTCTCTTTTTTTTTGTAAAAGTAGATTAAAAATTTTAAAAACCAAATAACTTAATTCGGTTTTGTTTTTTTAACCAAATGTAATTAAAAATTGAATCTAATTAGTATTTTTGTTTGGTTAACTGGCTTAACTAAATACTGCTCATCCCTACACATATGTAGATGAATCTAACAATGGAATCCAATTATAATTAATAATAACCTAAAGTATGAAAATTCAATTACGCAAGCCCATAAGCGCCGTGGCTAATGACATCTATAATATAGTGAATATTTTGTGTAATTACAAGTTTAGTTTGGTATTATTGTGATGTAGTTATTGTGTTATCTTGTGGAATAAAAGTAATGTTTGGTAATCGGGTTACTATCATGTGCTTATATGTATTTAAAGTAGCAAAAAAGTGTTGGGTTAGATTTTCTTTTTATGTGCTTTTGAGACATAAAATGATCAATAAATATTATAACATATTAAAAGTATTTTAACATATATATATTTTTTATATTTATATTTAGTGATTTATGACTTTTTAAAATTATAAGCCTGTGTAGATATTTTTTATATGAGACCGATTTTTAAGTTATAAGTTAAAAAAATATAAATAAGTTAAAACAGGATGTATATATATAGACGCATCATTTCAATAAAATCAATGATATAAAATAAAATTTGAAAAAAAATCTTTTATGTAAAACACTAGCACTTTTAGCATGTATAATGTTTTTTTTTTAAAAAAAAAGTCGAAACTTGTAATTTTAATAAATAAAAAAATAAGCCTCACAATAAACATGTGTTTTTTTTATTAAAAGTAAAAAGTATCCTGTTTTATTTTAAAAAAAACAAAGCATTTTTTTTTTTAAATGAACTATAATTTTGTTTCGAAACAAAACATGTATTAACTGAATACTATTTTTAAATAAAAAATAATTAGTGCTTTAAAAGCACAATAATATCAACCGGACAATTTATTCGTTACCCAAAAACGGATACTTCATATTTTATTATCTAATCATCTCGCTTTCATTAATCTAGATGATTTTTTTTTTTTTTTTTTGGTCCATAAAAAGATTTGAGTTTGAGACAATACGAGGAGTGCACAACCAATTGAACTAGCTTGTTGGTGGTTGGTGTGTCCGATTCAGCTTTTTTCGCAACCACTTTTTAATTATAGTTAGCCTTCATTCTTTTTTTTTAAAAATAAAAATAAAAAATAAATCAATTGACAATAGTGCATTGAGGTATTTTAAACAATCTAAAGAGACGATGGATAAGGCTTTTTGTCTTTCAGAAGGGGAACCCAAAAAAAGAAAAAGCACTCTCCTTTGGGGCCTAAAAACTTTAAGCCCAAATCAATGAATCTTAAATTGAGCCCATAAACAACACTTCTCAATCTACATCGAGCCTAGCCCATAATCAACTAGGTTAAATTAGTAATTTCAAAAACTTATATAATGCACCATCTATCTTCCCCGCTTGGGAAAAACCCTACTTCACAGCCGCAGCAGCTAAGGTGTGTTATCTCATCTCTCTTTTCTCTTCACCTTCAATTTTATTTGGTGTTCTCTATGGAGACCTATTTCAGTCCCAGGTTTTATTTTCTGTATCTACATGTTTAGGTTTCATTGAATCCAAAAATCTTCTTATAAATCTGTTTTTTTCCTTGAATTGAACTGAAGTTACTACGGGTCGTGACATATTATACTTTTTTTATCTTTTCTTTTATAAGGCTGTTTTTTTTTTGGGTTATTGTTTATGATACTAAAGTTTTGGTTTTCGGTTCTTGTTGCCAGGTTTAGTGGTGTCTAGGAAGTGATTGTTACAATGTCTCCGGCTAAAGGTACGTTTGTTTCTTTCGTTGTTTTTAGTTACTGTTTCAATTTCTAATACATGTGCTAATCGTTATGTTACCAATTAATGCTTTTGAACGTATGGATAACCGGTTTGCTGGGTCTTTTTTTATGGGCGGTTAGTTTATGCTTTACATTGATGTCTAATTACGATATGTGGTATACCCTTTACTTAAAGTAAATTTTTTAATTTTCTGATTTTATTCAGATTATCTGCATTTGTCTTCTTAAAAAATGTGGTGTTACTTGTTAATGGGCACAACTTATTTGTGTTATAGTAGTAGGATCTGCCATGTCTGATTCTACATTGGTATTGGTTGTTTGTTTTGAAACCGTATTGCTTGTTGGTTTGTGGTGAATTTATGGTTTAATATGGTTTAACAAAGGAGTTGAGCTGTGGGATCTTAAAACTGTTTTGAATAACCGATTTTGTAATCTGTAAATGAATAGTTTTTGTGTATTCTGCATCTTTTCTAGTCATGGAATTCATTGATTGAGAAACTTATTGTCTTTTCCATTGCAGCTGATGCTTCCAGAAAGCCTGATGCAAAGGCACAAGCCCAGAGGGCTGCTAGGGCTGTTAAATCAGGACCAACATTTAAGAAAGCAAAGAAGATCCGGACAAAGGTTACATTTCACCGTCCCAAGACATTGAAAAAGGAGAGGAACCCCAAGTATCCACGTATAAGTGCAACACCTAGAAATAAGTTGGACCACTATCAGATTCTGAAGTATCCACTTACTACTGAGTCTGCAATGAAAAAGATTGAGGACAACAATACCTTGGTGTTCATTGTTGACATTCGTGCTGACAAGAAGAAAATTAAAGATGCAGTCAAGAAGATGTACGACATTCAGACCAAGAAAGTGAATACTTTGATCAGGTAAATCTTAGTTACTTGAAACCAAGACATTTTGATGTCTTACATTTAAAACAAGGTGGCCATTACTGGTTTAATCCTGATTGATATTGATGCCTATTATAACTGTCCAAAAAGGCAAGTTTAAAATTGGCTATTAACCCCTAATGTGGCTCGGTATGGTACACTGCATCACTCCAATTTTGTAAACAAGAAAATCTGATTCTGGGTTGGAAAAAAATCACAGAATCCAACCATTTTCTTTGACCAGTGAATCATTTTATAGATACAGAGTTGAAAGTTTCCTTATTGATATTTTGCCTGGATCTCAATGGTGCTTATCTTACTGCATAATTTGACCTTCTCTTTAGTGGCACTAACTATATATTTTAATGCAGGCCTGATGGAACTAAGAAGGCTTATGTCAGGTTGACTCCTGATTATGATGCTTTGGATGTTGCAAACAAGATTGGGATCATATAAATTTGTGGTTTTGTAGCTATTTGTTCTGATGAGCAAAGTGATAGCAAGCGTACTGTTGACATTTTTGTTAGGAGCAATGCAGTCTGTTAGGACTCCAATGTCATGTTTGTTTTCTTTAATATATTTTGAGAACTATTTTTCTATTACACACTTTGTTTTGTTTGGTATCATTGCTGCTTGAATGTCTTGGGAATGGCCAATTTTATTGTTTTGCAAAGATTTCACTGGACCAGAATATTCAACACAAGTCAACAATTTGCGTTGCCCAAATTTTATGGCAGAGAATCTGTAGGAAGGTTGTTTGAAGTTTGAACTGCTGACTTTGATGAATCTTCAAATTTAAGTTCTCTTCTCAGTGACGATCATGTTTATCCAGTGTCGTTTTTTTTTGGTGAACAGAGACCAATCCATGTCTTTGTTTTTTGTTTTCTTTTTGGGTGAGATTGCCCCTTTGAGAGCAGTGCATTTTCCCACTGCTGTTTCACCATCGAAAGTTAGAGCTGCAGGTTTTGGCAGCCTCACCTCTCAACCCTAAATGTTGGAATAGAGAGCCAAGGTGCGCACTGCACCATATGAATGGAAACGTTAGGCCCTGCTTGAAACATAGGCATTTAACCGTACATGGAGTGCACTGCACGCTGCATAGCACAGGTTGTTATAATGTGCAGAAGATTGTCAAAGTCATTGAAGATGGCAATGCATTTAAAGAACTGTTTATTTATTTATTTTTTGAGATGTTACGTTTTACATCATTAGAAGGTAGAGCACAACGACCCTTGTACCTGTAATAATAGACTCATGATGCTGAAGAATGGTGAAGGGGGAGTTTATTTTCATATCAAGACTCATAGAGCTTCGCATGTAAGATGTTCCTCAACAAGAGAAAAGGGAAAAGAAGAAAGAATGGAAATGGGGACGCAAATATAGTGATAAGAAACGTGCCTCATACAACTCTAAAAGAGGGTTGCTCGTAAGCAGAAAAGTGAAAACTGAACAACCACATCAAACATTGACAATTTCAAAGGAATCAACGATCGTCTGCAATTTATCTTTCATCTTCTCCCACCTTCTCTCGTTGGATCCGGTAGTCAAAGTGTAAAATTTACCTGCCATGAAATTTCCAGGAACACAAGCATTGCTCAATTTCTTGTTAAATAACTGAAACATATGTCATTAATCAATGAAGCATGAGGGTTCTGTTTCAGTCCATGTGCAAATGATCCCACAGGAATATCAATAAAAGGTGACAACAATAGGACTGCTGACAAGTCTATTAATTACTGAAGACAATGGATAGTTGTCCAGTTGATCATCTCAAACTTGGGCAATCCTAACGTGTTTTACCTGAAGTTCCACTAGCATTCTGGTCTTCTAAGACTTGCGAAAGACAGGTAAAATGGAAAAGAATAAAGGAGAAGGTGCTGGCAGCAAGATCACTGGAAACCAATTTTTAGCCATTCTGAATGCCTAGATCACCTATTCTATTCATGAACTAATGATAATCATCTGGAACCAAATCTCTTTTAATGAAATCGTTCTGGAACCAAAGGAGTAATCCTTGATTAATGGAATGGGTGCAAGCAATTACAAGATCCATTTCTCAGTAAAATAGTAAACTATACATTCCATACCATTGCCAATAGTGATTGCACTAAGAGCATGGCGGGTAAAATTTGGAGCCTTAGCAACGAACTCAAATGTGTAATAAGTTTTCCCATCAGCATCGTGCTGCACCATAAAACAAGCAATAATATCGGTCAACTGTTCTTTTACGAACAAAACCATATTGCTAAATTTGCGTGAGAGTAAATTTAATGATCATCTATTTAGCAACTCAAAGGGAGATATCTCTGATTTAATTTGAACAGTACAAAGGACATCATACATGCCCCAATTATTTGTAATGAGAACTTGCTGGTCAACCAAGTTGAAGCAGTAAAAACATGTATGGATTCTGCTAGAATTAAATGAGAAGATATAAGAAATCAATCAAACCTCTTTTGCCTCGATTAGTTTTGTTTTCTGTGAAGGAGGGGCCAGAACCTTTTTGATCAGTGTTTCAGCAACCTGAGATAAATGCATAGTGAGCATTAGCATCTTCCATCACTTAAGAGACCTGAGCTCAAATTTTAAACTGGAGCACTAGCATAATGGAAACTAATGTTCCTGCCTCTGTATGAGAAAAAATGGGTGGTAAAGTGTATATGGAAAACCTGTTGTGGAGGTCCAAAGTCGTGAATATTTTGTTTGACGGTAGGGATCACATTCACGCTGACACTTTCTAGTGGCTCAATGACATCTTTAAAAACCTTGTCTTGACCTTCAATAACAACTTCCTGCCACAGCAGATAGAGAAAATACGAAAAACCAATCTGAGAATGTTGTATCAAGTCTTGTTGTATGTGGCTAGTAGGTAGATCGACAAAAGAAGAGAATGCATGAGCCATGAACATGAGAAGGGGAACAATTAAGAAAAAAACTATAGGAAAGCATACCTGCCATCCAAATGGGTAGAGAAACGAGTATCCATCCTTATTGTCCGTGACTAAAAGAAATCCCTTTTTACTTTCTGCAGCAACTGAACCATATCAAGGATGTCCTCTTAGGATATCAGCAATCATAACATCATAAGGAATTCTTAGCTATGAGTTTATTTCTATGCTAAACTGCAATAGCTAATCTGAACGATAACAGCGAAAGCATCCAAAAATGGTTGCTTACATGATGAAGAAGTTCGGTGAACCATAGACACCCAAGGAGCAATGACACTCACTGCAATCGATTTGCGTCTCCCAAATCTAACTGCAAGAGTAAGAGTACAATTAAACAAACCAAAACACTAAGAAAGTTTCTTCGGTACTGCCTCGTTGACCTTAAAGAAAAACTTTTAAGTTCAATTTCTAGAAGTATGGTTTTGGCCTTGTATTCAGTAATCTAATTAGTAAAACATACACCATTCTGCCTAGCATTTTTTTCCCCTTTTCATGTGGGGAAGGAGTGTTTTTGCTTCAATTGATATTTAGAAAGTCCTAATCAACTCAAAACAATTTTCAGAAAGCAATTTATTCATAATTAGCACATCAAATTCAGCAAAATCTTATTTCAATGACAATTGTCAAGTGCCCTCGCAACCAAATTGCCAAAAGAGATTGTCACAAGAACAGCATTCTCCTTATATCATGACATTCTAATTTCATTTTTGTCAGTAACCACTGAATTTCAAGCAAGAAATGCTTTATCAAATCCATCAGAATTGCAACTCACAGTAACTTTAACTAAGCCAACTGCCATGGTTAATAGCATAGGCATTGTTCATTGTACAAAAAGTACAGTAACTAAATTGAGAAAAGAAAAAGAAAAGAAAAGAAATCTCACCTTGAGAAAGAGAAGTTGAATTTGGTGATGATTGCTCAGCCTTAACAAGTAAAGAAAGGCCTCTTCTACAGAAAGACAACATTCCATGACTCTTTTGTACTCCTCCTACCTATACACACAAAAAAAAAAAAAGAAGGAAAAAAAAAACCCATAATGTGACATCTTTCTCAATCAAGTTCAGACATTCACATAGATTCTGTATTGCTTATGTAGAGAGAAAGAGGACCTGCGGGAAAGAGTTTGGAGATAATGTATGATAAACTGAAGGTGAGTTTTGTAAGGAAGCCATTGTTGTGGCGTGTAGTGTGTAAGAAAGTTGTAGTAAGGACTATAGAAAGTCTTGTCCTTTGAACTTCTAAGATTTTTTGTGTGGTGGAGAGCTTATCTTCTTTTCGGCTATCCCGCTGCTTATCCGTTATTAGTTAGTTGACTTGTGACTTTGGCGGCTTGGCGCGGGTCCTCACGGATCGCAGCCACCTGTGCTATATAGGTCGTTTCTTGGGCATCAGAAGGGCCGGACGACTCCCTCTAAATTTTTACATTAACCTAATTTATTGAACAGAAACAAATAATTTTTTTTTCGTTTTAACTTTCCGTTGATTGACAAGTTATCTTTGTTCAGATTGATACAATTCATGAAATTTTTTTCTAACAACCTTTTTCAGATTCAAACTTGAATATGTTAACGTGACAATTGAAATATATCATATCATTTTAATTGCCTTTTTTCCTTTACCAGTGATCTTTGATAGACTCATCGATTAAGTCTAGATGCTACCAGTGGTATGGATCATACAGAACTTTTTTTAAAAAAAAGTATGTTTTTTTTTTTTTTTAACTTTCTAACATAAAAGATCTGTTTTTATCAGATTGAAAATATGAATCCAGATTCCACCACGTTAAAGGAAGTCATTTGATAGCTCCTAATTTCCTTTTTGTTTTCAAGATTTTGATTTTATTTTTTCAATTTTTTCTTCTTTTTTTTTTAATTCCAAAAGAAATGCCAGCATCTTTGTTGACCACTGAACCATGCAAAAGTTGTAATAAACCAATCGTAAGGAACTCTTGTGGGCCAGTCACCGATGAGCAGATAAAGAGACATATTGTTAGCAAAAGCTATCATTGACCACCAATTGACCATTATTTATTTATTTTTTATTTTTTATTTTTTGATACGTCCCAACAACAAATTTCTGATGCTTGATCCTGTTTTTATTTGGCTACCGATTACAATTTTAATTCTCCCTCCACGTATTATTTCAGATCTGTATTTTAATTTAACGAAACCACTAAATCGCAAAATGGGATCAAAAACAATAATAAAATAATAAAATGGCTTCAACAATGAAAGATAGATATTTAATCCGAGTAAATTATAAATTGATCTTTCTAGTTTTGAAAAATAAATTTATTAGTTTTTTTTTTTAAAGACTAACTATTTAGTTTTTAAATCTATTTACAATTTATTTTTTAAAATAAAAAATATATAGAAAGATTATGAAAAAATAAGATAGTTTGTGAAATAAAAATAATAAAAAATTAATAATGATCAATACTATTTCAAAATCTAAATAATAATTTTTAAAATAAGAATAATTAATTAATTCGTTTATTAAAACTAGATGACTAATCTATAATTTACTCTATTTAATCCATGAATATCATTGTTTTTTTGCTTTTTTTTTAAAAAAAAAAAGAAGAAAAAGAATTTTCATTAATACCATAATAATTTACTTGTATATATACGAAACAAGTCGTGGTATCTTTCAATCATCCGATGCCAATGTTATGTTGTAATTGAAGCAACAAGACCAATCAATTCATGATGCTGAGAATTCACTCATATGCTTGGAGTTTAGTCACCCCATCAAATCCCTTTTTACGCAATTAACCTCGTCCATCACTTTCTTGATATGATAATGATATCACTCCACCACCAACCTTTTTCTGCAACTTTACTTTACTGTAAATCTCGCAACCCATGTTTTGTCATGCAAAGGTGCCTCATTCTAGCCATGGCCCTCTTGTCTCATAGATGCTACTTTCTAGCCAAAACGGTTTCTATTAAAGAATTAGCTCGATGATCCATTCCATCAAATTAAACACGCAAATTCTGCATGTAAAAAGCTAAAATACCTAGATGTGAAACAATTAATTGCCCTAAATCACCTAGAGTTATAATCATCAAGGAAGGAAGCTGCCTGGATCTAATTTTCACGGTCCGATTCAATCCAAATAACCAGAATATTCAATGATTGAATTTAAGTGCCCTTTCATGTCAAGGGAGACATGAATTGAAATCCAGATAATCAATCTATCAACTAATTATTTGGCCGTAAAAGCAAATCTATTATTGATCAATGCTAAAAATTGTAGCTACGCTAGAACTCCGCCATAATTAATGGCAAAAAAAAAACAAAAAAAAACTAAGTTTTTGCTGTATTTTACACAGCAGCATCCTTTAAAAACCTTTTTTTTTTTTTTTTTCACTCTAAGGAGACATCTTAGGAACTTGTTTTTTTTTTAAAAAAAAAATCAACAATTACTAACACAATTGCTATCATCAATAAAGAAAAAGGAAAACAAGTTGCATCCAAATCAGAACACAAAAGCAAGAAATTCAAAAGAAAAAAAAAAGAAAAAAAAAAGGGAAGGCCCAAATGGAACAGAGCAAATGCACTGGCAGACGCAGGAAAAAGCTTTCCAGGCAACAGAACCCACCATCTCCCCAATGATGTCTGCTGCTTCCACTCTTCCCATAGGCCATGCCATGCTACGACTACTCACTCACTCCAGCCTTTTTTTTTTCTTTATTTACAAAGCTACACTAACCTCACCAACCACCCTCCCAAAAATCCCACACGTGTCACCTCTTAACAGCTCAAAACAGCTGGAATTCACAGTAACCAACACTGAAATATTTGCTTTCAATTCCCAGATCCACCCCTGCAAAACACACCTGCTGTAAGCTCGTGCAGTGCTAGAAAAACTTTTTATTCGTATTTATATATATTTTAAATTCTTACAATAAGGTGATAGTTCGAACCAATATCGATACACCCTATAATAAGATTTCCTCTTCTTTTATGTCAAATATGATGTTCAAATAACAATAAAAAATCATATATGAATCATTCCTATCGCAACTAAAATCAGAAGATTCACCAAAATTTCACGTTTTACGGGTCAACTTGTAATTCGAATTTTTACAATTAAAAAATTAACATATCTTTTAACTATAAAATCATATAAAAACACAATGAATAATATAATAATTTCATGAAAAAAATATATTAGAAAATTATATTAATAAGAGTATAAATATAACAATCGATAGGTTAATTCATCCAAAGTTATCCTAGTTTTTATTTTTATTTATACATCGATATGACGTATTTAATTTTTTTTTAATTATTTTTACCACATGCTGATTATAAAATTTGAATTTTAAAATTTTAAAAATTAAACATATCTCCTAAACTATCACACCACTTTTTTAGAGTTTCAATAAATTAATTAATTGACTAATTTATCATCAAATTTAAATATATCACAACAGGATTTGCTTCTTCTAGCATGGCTTATGCAACTGAAAAACTTACACAAATATTAAAACGATAATTTGGTCTGAAGAAAATGAAAAAGATAAAATAAAAACATAAGTTTAAAAAGCAGAAAATCCCAGGTTTCGCTGTTATCCACAAAAAACATAGCCGGCAGATAACCGTTAACCTAACAAAAACAAATCCCATAGAAAGAATTTATAGTACTCAGTATTTGTTTCAGTCATTTCCATTCTGGTACCTCAGTTGGTAAGAGTCAACATTTGCCCTTCTCTTTCTTTCTCTCTCTCTAAAAAATCCGCCTCTTTTGACCAAGTCACAAAAAAGAAAAAGCTCTCCTTTTGTTTTTCAGCTCCTAAAATCGAATTTTGGCCTCTAAATTTAGCACAGATCTGCTGCTAATTTTAGAGGTAAAATTTAAAGGAATCAATTAGGGTTTTTCGAAGGCAGAAGCAGCAGATAGGTTCCCTCCCAGGATGATGATCTCCCGGGGATTATTCGGATGGTCCCCACCCCATGTACAACCGTTGACGCCAGTGTCCGAGGTTTCCGAGCCGCCGGAGAGTCCTTCTCCGTACTTAGATACAACTGCGGAGGCGGCTGCGGCTGCTGCGGCGCAGGCTCAGGCGGAAGCGGAGGAGGAGATCGACGAGGCAGAGGAGATGGAGCCGCCGCCAGCTGCTGTTCCGTTCTCGAGGTTGTTTGCTTGTGCAGATAGGTTAGATTGGGGGCTCATGATCGTTGGTTCGCTTGCAGCTGCTGCGCATGGGACTGCTCTTGTTGTTTACTTGCATTACTTCGGGAAGATCATTAGTGTTTTGAGGATTCCGCCGGAGGAGCAATTTGATAGGTTTACTGATGTGAGTTGGTTTTGCAAACCCTATTATTTTGTTGGAACTTTTGGAGTTTTTAGTGGAAAATGTTTCAAAACTTTTTATTTTGTTGAGGTTGTTAGGTGAATTTAGTAAATAGCGAGGGTTAATTAGGACTGAAAGGGTTACAGTATGTAGTTCACAAATTTATTGTTTATTCTTCTAATTCGTTCTATTTCTATGTTTCTGGACCTGTTATGGCTGAACTGTTAAATATGCTTAAGTATTGTTTAATTAGTGTAGTTTGGCTGCTCGCCGGTCGGTAATGTTAGTTAGTTTGGTTAAGAAATGGAAATGCTATGTTATGCAGCTGGAGATATGAGAGAGAGTTCTGCTTAGGAAGCGACTAGAGTTTATTGTTCTTCATATTGTAAATTTTGTGTAAAGCAACTGAAAATATTGTCTAACTGTAGTTTGCCACTTTAGTTCTGTGTCAATTTCAAATCAAATTCTTCTAACCTGATAAAGAATGTTAGTAACACATGCTTTAGTCTTTCTTTATTTTATTTTATTTTATTTTATTTTTGTTCTTTTTGTAATTAGTAGAGTACTGCTAGTTCTTGTGGAAGAAAAGGATGTATAATGAATAAGCTACTGAGGGAGCTGAACCTATGACCAATTGGTTTTTCTTTTGTTTTCCAAATTGATTAGCCAATTAAAGGTTTTCCAAATAAGGAAACTAAGTGCACTATACACCCCTGAGTTTCTCTTTTTCTCCTTCCCCTCCTCCCTTCCTTCCTCTCCTTCTCCAGCATTAACCAAAAACTGGAAGGATATCAGATTGTTCATATTTTACTTTTTGGTCAATACACGGAACTTGTAAAGCCTAGCTGGGTCAGAGGTTGACTGTTGGC